GCAGCAGCAGCAACCGCAGCAGCAGTCTTCTGATTCTCATTGATGGTGAGGCGCATGGGTGCTTCAACGGGTTTAGGGATTTGGAGCTTCGGGTTTACCGAGGAGCCTGTGGTGGCTTCCGAGCGGGGTCTTAAGGGTGTTTAAGGCTTGGGCTTCAGAGTTGTGGCAACATGAGTTTAGGGCCCCAAACAAGCTCATATGCAAAAACATTGGATACCCCATAAAAAAAGCCCAATAAGGTAGGGATATCCCTACGAAATGCTTATGCTTATGTCCTCGTGGGGTGTGTTGGGCACCGTTTGATTGGAGTGCGCGCTCAAGCCCTACCCCCACTTACCGGAAATAGAATCTAAATGCCGTCGAGTCATAACGTAAAAACACATCCCGAAAAAAAAGTCTGAACCAGCAGCGAAAATCCTAAACCCTAAAACCTGGAATCCGAAACCCTAAATCCGAAGCTCTGGACCCTAAATGCCCTCAATCCGCAAACCCGAAAACCCTCAACCAAAAAAAACTCAAATCCCCCTAAAAAAAAAAGAACCAGTAAAATCCGCAAATTCCAAACCCTAAAACCCTAAACTCGAAACTGCGGAATCTTTAAAGCTTAAGGCCCTCGCGGGGTCTTGATCGCCATAGAGCCGCTTTCCCCGGCAGCTAACATCCTTGGCTCTTGTTAAGGAGTTTAGTTGGGTTTAGGGCCTAGGATTTCAGGGTTCAGGGTTTAGGGTTTGAACTTACCGAAAGCTACTATTATAATGTAGGGTTCCGGAAAGGGCTCTATAGAAGGGTTCTTTAAGGGATCGAAGAGTTTACCAGGACCCTCCTTGTAGCCTCAAATAAGGGTATGTAGTCCCAAGTAATGGGAAGATAGGGTCTGATAGATGACGGGCGAATGGAGGGCCTACCACAATTTAGGGTTCCTGCAAGGGTTCTAGCAAGGAATCTATAAAGGCCTATAGGGCTAAGGAAGCTACTTTAAGTTAATAAGTAAGGAAACCATAATATTTACCACTAAACCCTAAACCCTAAATACCAAAACAAAAGGTCCGAGAATCCGGTGGCTGGCCGAACCACGCCACATTCTGACCCATGGTAAGCCTGGGTTTTGCTTTTGGGGTTCTCTTGCTCTCTGGGGCTTAGGGGTTTAGCATAGGGGTTTAGGGGTTTTGGGGGTTTAAGTGTTAGGGTTTACTATGGATTTAAATTCCTTTTCGGGATTTGGCTTTGGGGTGCTACCTATAGTCTCCACTGCAATTCCTTTGTTGGCCTCCCTTATAGGCTCCTAAACGTAAAATTCGTTGATCCCCAAAAGGGACCTACAATGCAGACCATCGGTCAAACCCTAGTCCCTAGACCCTAGACCCTAAACCCTCAGCCCTAGACCCTAGACCCTCAGCCCTAGACCCTAAGCCCTAGGCCCTAAACCCTAGACCCTAGGCCCTAAACCCCAGACCCTAAACCCTAAGCCCTAGACCCTGAACCCCAAACCTCAGACCCTAAACCCTAAGCCCTAAACCCCGGTGGGGCTCTCGAGCCTTAGGGACGGTCTGAGGTCTCCCTACCGAGGTCTTTGAAGGTGCTACAAGTCTTTGGGAACTGGGCTTTGAAGAAACCGGGGATGAAAAGTTCTAAACCCTAAACCCCAAACCCTAAAGCCGGTTTAGGGTTTAGGGTTTAGGGTGTATTTCATAGCGGCTCCTTTCAGGAAACAGGTCCCCCAAAACGATATAGTGTATGGCACTCCAAAACCCAGAGAAGGGTTCTAGATGACTTCGCTGGGGGGTTAGGCTTTTGGGACTTTAGAAGGGTTCGGGCTTCGCGGTTTAAGACATGCAGTTTTCTTTATTGGGGTCGGGAGTATCCCTTTTTCCCTGATCTCTTAGGCTGGACGGGTCCAGGGGGAATTGTAGGTCGAGTTCGGGTCTCGGGTTCTTCAGTGGGCATAAAGCTTCTTCGACACCTCAACACTGATCTCTTCAGTTTCGGTGAGTGCACCTAAAACCCTAACTAAATCCCCTTATATAGCCCTAAATCTTAAACTTACTAAGCCTCGTAGAGCCCGAAGCCCTGAACCCTAGAGTCACAAAATCCCCCTTAGAGCTCTAAACGCTTAGACCACTAATCGGACCATGGTCCATTACGGATTTGGTTTGGGCTTCGGTTTATAGAGTTTAGGGTTTAGTTTCGGGCTACGGATCGGTTTTGGGGAGATCGTTTTGGTCGTTTGAGCAGGTTTAGTTGGCTCTTAGAGGGTTTAGGGACTACGGATGAGGAAACCCTAAACCAAAGCCCCAAACCCTAAACCGATTTCGGATTTAAGGGCTCTGCTGCAGAGCATCGCTAGAAGAACCCTAAACCCTAAACCCTTAAACCCAGAACCCTAAACCCTAAACCCAGAATCCTAAACCCTAAACCCAAAACCCTAAACCCTTAGACCCTAAGCCCTAAACCCTAAACCCTAAGCTGCTAGAAGCCCGGAGCCGGCTGAGCTGCTGAAAGATCCCCCGCTCAAGATGCTCCCACTGGAAAACCTCAGCTTCTGTTTAGGGCTTTGGGCTTTGGGGCGTTGGGTTTATAAGGGTTTAGGGTTGGGTTTAGGGTTTAGTGGGGCGTTGGGCTCTGGGCCTCAGCTTGTCTTCGAGGGCTTTTGGTGTTGCTGCTGATTTAGGGGCTTAGGGGCTCTTTTGGGTTTAGGGCTTAGGGGTTTGGGGGTTTAGGGTTTTGGGCTTTGGGGTTTCGGATGGTTCAGAGCCTGTTCTGTTTGGGCAAGTCTCAGCACCAAACAGGGTTTCAACATAGCTTGGCGGTAGAGAAGCACGTCGACAGGTATACAGAGATCATGCGGTCGACCGGTATACAGAGATCATGCAAAGACCGGTATCTACAAAATCTTGCGGACTCTATTTCGCAGACGGCATTCCTTCTTGATTCACGTGACTAAAAACGCGTCTGCAAGGACATTCATCACCAGCATCATCGTCGCTATCGCCAAAACTGGCAGCACGCTCATGATCAAATGGTAACTAATGGTACCGATTCTGCTGCAAGATGCAGGCACTTGTGCTAGCAGTGATAGCACCAGCAGTCCAAGTCGTTCATAGATATGCACAGCATCGCTGCTTACTAAAAACAACCCTAAGCCCTACACAATGGACGTGCTTAGGCTGTGCACGGATGCCACGGACGATGCGGCGTGCTGGAATTGGGAAGCTCTAGGTTCAAACATTTCGGGTTCAGAAGCGTTGCCCGTTCATGTCATCTGACTGCTTCAAAGGGAAGCCGGTGAGCTGTGATGTATGTCTTGTATGTTGGTATCGGGCAGTGTGGCAGTCTTGGAAGAATCTTCTAAGTACCCAAACCCCCCCAAAAAAAAGTAAGTGAAATGATGGCCCACCGCCTATAGCGGGCTACAAACACGAAGCCCTAAACCCTAAACCTTAAACCCTAAACCCTATAACCCTAAATCCTACACCCTAAATAAACGGCCAACTTTGGGGGCCCAAGTAAGGCGAAGGCAAGTAATTTGCAAGAGACAGGCGAGGCACGGATGCCAAGGCGGCCCCAATGGAGTGGCCTCGGGCTTTAAGGGGTTGAGGTTTAAGCGTTTAGGGTTGAAGGGTTAGGGGTTTGAGGTTTGAGGGCTTAGGGGTTCGGGCTTTAGGGTTTTAGGGCTTAGGGTTTAGGGCTCAGGCTTTGAGGATTTAGGGTTTGAGGGTTTAGGGGTTTAGAGTTTAGGGCTTTAGGGTTTAAGGTTTAGGGTTTAAGGGCTTAGGACTCAGGGTTAAGGGTGCAAGGTTGTAAGGCTGAGAGGGTTTTGGGACTCAGGCTCTAAGGGCTTAGGGCTACCTGTAACCGAAAAGACCTACCTTTTTAAGGAACTATAATATAGAAGCCATAATAAGGGAACCCTAAAGAGGTAGGTTTTTCGGTTACAGGTAGGGTTTAGGGCTCAGGCTTTCAGGGTTTAGGGTTTACTGAAACACAGGTGCACTACTTCTCACGCTGTTGCGGATACCAATACACGCAGATGTAGGTGAAATCGCGGGATATGCTGCTCTGCATCATGCCCAACGCAAAAAAAAACTGCAAAAATAAACCCTAGACCCTAAGCCCTGAACCCTAAACCCAGCAACCCTCAACCCAGAACCGCAGTACAAACTGTTCACAAACTGGCCTCAACCCTATAAACCCTACAACTACCCTAAACCCCTGGCCTGAGACATATATTTCGCTGCAGTCATGGAGGGCTGCCACCACATCATGGCCGATCTGGCTCCGGAAGACCTCTCCCGGGAAATGTGCGGGTACCCCTTCAATTACGGGCTCCAAGAAGGATGTGAGAAGGATACTACAATGACGCTTCCTTTGAGGGTTACTGTAGCAAGGGTCACAATCCGGGCTCCCGGATGTCTCCATCCGAACCCTAAACGCTAAGCCCGGCGAACCCCTTAAAGCTTTAATCCCTTCTGAACCCTCAACCCGAAACTCCTGAACCCTACACATCCTTCTGAACCCTATAGCGGCTCTAATATAGGGAGGGCTTCTTTATTGTAAATATAGGAGAATGGGCCCCAAAATCCTATTCTAATTCTTAAGGCCCCTATATTAGCCTCCACGCACGGCGGCCTTGAACTCTAACGAACCCTAAAGCCCGAGACCCTTCTAGAACGCCTGTTGTACGCCTTAAAGAGGCCCTTCAGGTAAGCCCGGCGCAGCCTGATTACGACACCCTGGCCCCATACCCAGAAATATTAGGATTGATATAAGGGGGTTTCCGAAAATAGGGGACCCTAATATAGTACCCTAAATAGTAGGATCCTTATTATAAGGACCCCAAAATAAGGTAACCCTTATTTTCGGAAAGTCCCATAAAGATACCTAACAGAGACCCAGGGTTTCTTGTTCCCATAATTTTGAACCCCTAAACCCTTATAATACCCCTCCTAGAGCCCTGTAACGGAAAGCTTGTTTGTACCCCTAAAGTCAGGTTCCTATATGGGTACTTCTCTAAAGTAGGGTCTTTTTGGGGTCCCCAATATAGTACGACACTCTTGTAAAAAGGACCCAAGACGGGACCCTAGTTTAGAGAACTAACTATCCAATATAGAACCCTTGTAGTACCCTTATAGAAACCTTTGTAGATCCCTTTAAGGAACCCTAAAAGCCTAAATCCTAAACCCTAAACCTTATAACCCCTAAACCCTATAACCCTAAACCTTAACCTAAACCTTAAACCCTAAACCCTATCACCCTATAACCCTAAACCTTAAACCCTAAATCCTACCCCTAATCAGGTTCCTATATTGGGCAACCGCGGAGTGCGGGCCTTGTAGACCTCCCAGTAGAACTTGTGGAAGCGGTGGTGCGGCACAGTTTCGGAGGGGTCCTCCCGAATTCGGATTCAGTGGAGGGTTTCGGGGTCAGGGTTGCGGATGTAGGGGTCAGGGTTTAGGGATTCGGGGTGAGGAGTTTGGGCTTTACGGTGTAGGGTTGATGAGTACTAGGAAATCTGCGCATCTACTGTCATTCGCATGTAGTGGCGGTCGTCGCAATCATACTTGGAGGTTCATGGGCAGTTATAAGTGAGGTTGTAAGTCCCCTCATATGGGCTATACCTATAGTTGCCCTACTTATAACCGCACTTATAACTACCCATGAACCTCCAAGTAGCCGTGGTGTCTGTTAGTCGTAGTCGCTGTCGCAGTCCTCGTCGTTGGCATGGTCGTCGAACCGTCGATTTGCTCATGCTAGATGACAGGAGGGCTGTTCCTGCGGGTCTAGTCTAGTAATCATGATACCAAATTCAATATTCATAATACTAACAATTTAAACCCAGTAATTGTCATGAATCATAATCGTAATAATTGTATTACTACTAATATAACAACAGAGATAACAGCACTGTAAATGTGCAGCAGCAACATGCGTATCTTGTCTTGCGGTGTCTATCGACCCGCAAGCAGGAGCTTCGCCGAGAAGAATCTTGACAGTACAGGAGCCGCATACCCCAGTGCCGTGGTCCAATCATGTAGGGTTAGGGTTTAGGGTTTAAGAAGGTTTAAGATGGTTTAGATGGTTTAAGCTGGTTTACGGTTTAATAGTGTTTAGGGCCGTGTGCTGATAATCATAACCCGGCCCCAGCCATCAGTCCTTCAGAGGGATTTTGCCCATCCGCGCCTCGAATACAAGCAAGGCGGTCCACCACATAGCACAGCCAACCACAACATGTCACACCAAACCCTGAACCCTAAACCCTAAGCCCTTACATTATGGCTTCACACCGCCATGCCTCGATTTCCCCGCTTTGGTTCCGGAACAGCTGAACCTTGGTGAATGGCTCGCTGGGTGTACGGTTTAGGGTGTATAGGGTTTAGGGTTTTGGGTTTAGGGCTTAGGGTTTAGGGTGTACGCTTTAGGGTTTAGGGTTTAGGGTGTACAGTTTAGGGTTGAGGGTGTAGGATATAGGGTTTGAAGGGTCTTGTGCTGATAGCATTTTGGCAGTGGAAACATGCAACTGAGCCTTGCTGCTATCAATGTGTATCACTGCATTCGAAATTTCAGGAATGAACCCACCCCTATCTGCCGCCAAAGCCTATAAACACTAAACCCAAAACCCCAAAGCCCAAGCCGCAAACCCCTAAGCCCCGCCGAAGGCACAGGGCCGTAGTCCATGATGCCCGCGACAAAATTCAAGTTCGTGGCCCCACTGAAGGTCACCGTGCACATCTGCGGCCGCATAGCCTTGCAGTCAACGGGTTTAGGGGTTTTAGGGGTTTTAGGTTTTAGGGTTTAGGGGTTTTAGGTCCCAAGACCGCACAACCTCTGGGGTCAGAGCCATGCCTACTGCACTACGAAAACAGGCCGGGGAGAACATATGGTCGAGATCAGCGACAATTCGTGTCCCATCTTCAAGGTAAGCACTTTTGAACGAGGCTTCAGGGCTTATCGTTCAGGGTTCACCCAAACCTTGGCTTAGGAGTTGAGTGCCCTAGCCCCAAAAAAATAACCTTTTCAAGTAGGGTAGTACTATAAAAAAACCCTATAGACCCTAAACCCCAGGTCAAAGGTGACCTACTCAGCTACTACTGCAACTTCCGAAGTTGGCAGCTCCTCCACAAACCTACCTGAACAAAAGGCCGTTTAGGGTTTAGGGTCTAGGGACAACAGGCCGAGGAGCACATCTTCCGACGAGGGCAGTCGGAGTACTCCACGATACTTTGTTGAGGACACGCCCGATAATGCCTCCGGGGGGCAACTTGTAGTAGAAGTCCTGAGCAAATGCCCGCTGTGAGAACCACGGGCAGCCAGGTACATCAAGCCGGGTTGCGAATGTGGTGCTGAGCCCCCGGCGCTCCAACTGTAGCAAGAGAAGATCTCTTTCGCATATTTCTCCAACGATCGGATGCCCTTCGCATCATACGAGACAGCAACCTCTGCCGAGGTCACTTGGGTTTAGGCTGGGCATGATCACGGGAATCCAAACAGGCCAGGATGCGGGTTGCAAGTAGTATATCCCATGTCAAAAAGACGACCTGTAAAACACCGCCATCCTAATCACTGCCCATAGGCTCCTTAGTAGTTCCTTTTGGGGATTTGGGCCTATGGGTAGAACCCATTAACTCCTCAGTTCTTAGTCCCGAAGCAAACATGGAAACGTGCGACCTGCAGTGCAAGCTGGCAGGCCACAAAGACCCTAAAGGTCCTCATAGCGTTGCATGCAACCTCTCACCACTAGTATGTGGGCCTTAACCTTAGCACTTAACACCCAGAACGGCTTCGGGGATAGGTTAAGTTGTGAGGGGATTACAAGGGGACTCTACAGAAAATCCCTCAGCCCCCCTATACTACGTCTGCTGACCTTGCCCTCTAATGACATCCGAGCATCCATCCGCGCGACTTGGGACTCCAAGGATAAGCCTCCACAGGAACATCCCTCCAGGCCACTGGCCTCTGCCGGCGGCCGGCCTGCGGTGTTCGTCAGTGTGAGGCATTTCGGGTGAACGGCGTGAGGTCTAACTGGAGGCACTGGTAGCTTTGAAGTCCGCACAAGATTTTTTGTGTGTCCTGTGAAAACCTCAAGAGAAGTTTGACCGATGTGGTAGTGTAAACCCTTTTTTTTTGAAGTACTACAAGGGTATATCGGTATATCTCTAAATCAAAGTCGCTTTTTGGGTCCCAGAAATACTACGCCACTCTGGTGAAAAGGGACCCTCAGCTCTCAGCTAACCCCCCCCCCCCTCAACTACCCTCCAGTATACCATAAACCCTATAAACCCTAAAGTACCCTAAATACCCACTCTTGAGGGACCCTAAGGGCTCTCTTAAAGGGTCCTTGGGGGGGGAAGGGCGTCAGAGCTTGGGATGTAGCTAGAGCCTTCATTGTAGCTCCTGTTTTGGGCCTAACTTTAGGGTTTAGGGTTTAGGGTTTAGAATTTAGGGTTTAGGGTTACCGGTTTAGAATCATTGTGGTTAATTCGGCTCCGGCTCCTAAGCGGCGGCCCAAAGCCCAAAGAGGAACTAGCATGGAGACTGTAGGGGGGGCTGAGGCACGTCTCCTTGGATGCCTGTAGCCTCTGACCTTCCTTGTCCTCAGGGTGTTTTTTTTTTTTTTATGGGCCCTTTTCCAACTGCAGGTTTAGGGTTTAGGGCTTTAGGGCTGACCGCGCTGCGAAGACTTTGGGGTCCGGGGATTAGTGGTTTATTGGTTAGGGTTTTGGGGTTCAGGGTTTTGGGACATGAATGAAACCACCTCGAAACCGCAACATCATCTACGCGGTTCGCACATCACCGCACGTGAAGCCTGTCAGAAACAACGTTTTACACCGTCAGCCCATGGCCCCTATCCCCTAAGAAGCTCCTTCAACCTCCTGCCCTTCCGAAGACTCCTTTTCGAGGGGCCCTTCTCAAACTCTAAAGTCATGAAAGCCCCAGAACGTACCTACTTGCCGGCTTCAACCAACTCCCTAAAGACCTTAAACAGCAACGCTCTCAACCCCTAAACCCTAAACCCAACCACGACCAGGCGCCTTTGTCACGGCGAACGGCCTCAACAGCAATCACAGCCAGGAGTGGCCACAGGCGCATCATCGCCGGAAAGCGCATCGCGCACAGAGCTTCGCAAACAACTCGATGTGAAGATCTTGAATCTTGAGCCAAAAAAAGTTGAGGCTTTCGGGTTTAGAGTTTAGGGTTTAGGTTTCAGGGCTTTAGGGTTTAGGGTCTTGGCTTTCGGGTCTAGAGTTTAGGGTTTAAGGGGCCAGCAAGACTTCCCTCTGGTCTCGGATTTGGGCTTTCAGATAAGGGGCTCAAAGTTGGGGAACTTCGTTTCAAACTGAAGAGTAGGCTAAGCAAACCCAAGGGAAAAATAAGCATGGGGGCTTGCAATTCAGGTGCCCCGTCATGCGCTCTGAATGAACAGGATGCCATGATTCGCAAGAGATTTGGGGGCTTGAGGTTTAGGATTTAGGGCGCAGGTGGTTTATACTAGGACACTAGGAGGGTTGTAATCGGGCTGCTTTAGAAACAGCTGGGGCCAGTAGGAATTAGGGTTCGGGAGCGCTGGGATTTTGGGCTCGGGCTCTTTGGGTCCTGTGGTTTTTGCAGCCTGACGAAGCGCCCGGCCTGAGAAGTGGAAGCACTGAAGCACCAACGACGCAAAGTAAAAGTATGGTTTATCAAAGTGACCAAAAGCAGCAACAGAACGAGCAGAAGCAGGAATGCTAGGAATGACTGCAGCTGTGCCGATGCAAACAGAACTCTGCATGAGGGGACTTGCGTCAGAGTCGAGTGCACCGGACGGACATCGACAGAAGGAGGGAGGGAGGCAGGGAGGGAACCCTGAACCCTGAAACCTAAACCGATGGGTTTAGGGTTTAGGGCTGATGGAGGGCTGGGAAGATCTATCCACTCATCTTGGCCTCCGCCACGGCACTGTCATCCTGCAACCGATGCCATACGCGCATTGGCCTGGAGAAATTAAGGGTGGCTTCATAAGTTAAATGGCTTTGGAGCGGTACACTATGCTATACGTACAATTGGAACTATGAGGGGATTGGGTTGAATCTGCACATGCTTAGACTAACGTAAGGCCCCTCAATGATTAGAAGAAGGTATTGGGAGGAGGAGGGGGTCAACTCTACCATACTACCATAGTTATAGCAGGGAGCCCTCAGGACCAGTACTTCGGGTTTAGGGCTGAGGGCTACTACATATTCAGCCTTCTATACCCTATACCCTACACCCTCAGCCCTAAACTGTAAACCCTAAGCCCTTAACCCAAACCACAAACCCCAAGCCTCAACACTTATAGCCACAGCCTCATGGCTCATGGCTCCAGCAATGATGTGGCTACAGCGGTTTCGGGATTGAAGCTACGGGCCTTAATTAGAATATGGTTTCGGGCTCCTTTGTAGTAGAACTGTAATACGGAACCCTGAAGGAAGTATGTGGGTAATTAGGGATTTCGGGCTTTCTGGGTATGGAAGGTTTCGGCCTTCAGGATACCAGTAGCCGAAGAGAGTCTGAAACCCTAAACCCTAAATCTTAAGAAGGCTCGGGATGTTACCCAGTAGACCCTTTTCGGACCTGCAGGTGTTGGACATCAGCACCTATCGGCCACCCACCACTACTGATAACAACTACTACTAATCAGAAGAAAAGAAGAATGCAGAATCCTGAAATCCTAAAGCCCCTAAACCCTCAGCATCAGGAGCCCAAACCCCCAAACACACTGCACCAAAATCCCAAACCTTCTCCCTCTAAACCCGTAAGTCCTAAGACTCTACAGTGCCCAAACCCCAAACCATAAACCCCAAACCTCAAAACCCGAAGCCCCTTAAATCCTTGTTGGGAGTGATCCTGAAACGTTCACTCCTTTAGAACTATATGTATGTATGAATGTATGCATGCATGCATGAAGCTAAGTAGGTAGGTGGGCAGGTAGGTAGTCAGGTAGGTAGGTAGGTAGGTAGGTAGGTAGGTAGGTAGGTAGGTAGGTAGGTAGGTGGGTAGGTAGGTAGGTAGGTAGGGGTAGGTAGGTAGGTAGGTAGGTAGGTAGGTAGGTAGGTAGGTAGGTAGGTAGGTGTTGTTGGTATGTAGGTAGGTCGGTCGGTAGGCAGGTGGGCAGGTAGGCAGGTTACGATTTTGTACGCC